GAAAAAAATGCGGAACAAAATTCGGGTAGTTATTTGGTTTTTGCCACGTCTAATCTTCCAAATTGCTGTTTGTGTTGGTAGTTTCCGTTTTAAATTATGAACTAATAGTAGATTTGCCAAACCGTAACGGGCCACATTTTGAACACTTATTGATATAAAAATAATATTTTCGTGTGTTTTTTGTTTTCTATCTGACGAAATTAAGATGAAAAAAGATTTTTCTAATTTTCTCGAAACCGAATCGACTGATTTTGAAAAATCTAACGTCTCAATAAAGGACTTCGAAATACCTTTCAAACAAGCTATTACTTGATACCCCTTTTCACTTAATTTTTTTAAGGAAATGACCCTGGAGGGGCGAGGGTGAAAGGGGGTAAGGTAGTTTTTGGTTAAAAAGTTGTCCCCCTTGACAAATCTTATGACGTGTTTCGGCATTTCTTCTTTTAATCAGTGGTTTTTGACTAATCTGTGGTGGGAAGTTTTCAAATGAACACCCTGTTATACTATGTCGATAGTTTAACTCTGATTTATTGATGGTTAGGGGTGTATGGAAGGGGTTTTCTAATGTCATTCTGAATAAAATATCAAAAAATGAGCTCTACACTTCAACGAATTTGAAGAACCGTCTTAGCTACATATTACCTGCCAAAGTAACTGCTATCCAAATTTCATAGTCTCTGATCGTTCTTACTTGTGTTGGGGACATGCACAGAGAAACTTCCAGCTTTCATGAAATTACGAATGCCTGGCTGTCGCGGACTCTTGCTCTAGTTGAATCGACTCCGCTTTCATTTGAGTCGAAAGTGATACTGTATATAGTATTTAAGTACACTAATCCAAAAACGATTCCTTTATAATCAATTGGAGATATTAGGTTAAGAAATAATTGGGTAAGAGAGTTAAAAAAACTCCACTGGAAAAAGCAAGTCCTTGATATGGTATGATACCGTAAGAACAAAGTTTTGGCACCTTGAATATTTGGAGAGTTTTTCTGGTCCCATGTTCACATAGGAATATTCTAGCCATATCGAAGAGAAAACCACATCATCCTATCTGCACCGAATTGAGTTAACATCAACAAATCTCTGTGTTACATGAGATAATTAAATGTGAATATCATTATTTTTGCATGTTTAATATATTTCATAATCGATCATGTATACTGCAACCTTTCTGATAGGCTGCGACGAATATTGTCTGGTCTGTTTTGTATATGTCATGCTATCATTTTGACCTTTAACAAATTACGTTACACTCTACTTTCACCCTTAGATAATACTCTCTGCTGATGTCTTGTAGTAAACTGGGCAATCATCATGAGAATACATGGAATTTGGTCTGAAGGTTTCTGAAAGTTCTTGACAATTTTCGATAGTACTAGCACCATACTACTTATTGTAACGAAAACACTTTGAAAGTTGGGTACTACCATTGGTGTATTTGATAGATAGATAAGTATGATTCAGTGTCTGAAGAATACAATCATTCTTAATGACAAAGCTAACCTAAAACTAAACTATAAGATGACTACATAGGTAAATTGTAGAACTCACACATGGTATAATATGGTTCACATAAAAGTTTTTGAGCTTTCGGAGGAATATAATATTTAAATTAATAGTTCTTTTGACAGCATCAAGGAGATACATGTAAAGTTTCAGACCGTTATAAATTATTGAGTCTTTTACAAATGTTGATTTAGGTACTACTAATTTAAGATCTTGTTTTCGTCTAATATTGTAACTATTGGCAGTCATTGTTTTAAGATTTACCCATAAAGGCCTGCATGTAGCTCTAGCTTTTAGATATATATCTAATAGAATAGAATAGGCACATTTGCAAACAATTTTGGTAATAGGCACACCAAAAGGTAATGCAATAGCTCAATCTCTTTTCAAATAAGGCAAAATTACTGCTTAAGGTTGTGCTTTTCCCTACGTTGTAACTAATTATTCTCATAATAAAGGAAATATTTGCTAGTTGAGTATGCAATTCGTCTACAGGATAAGTAAAATCTGATTTATGATCAATGGTCAGTCTCAGAAATTTGATGCTGTCTGTTTTGTGTATCAATTCATTGTTTAAATTTATAAGATCAAAGGAGCATTCAAATGTCATAAATATTGTCTTTTTTAAGTCAAGTAATTGTTGTCTCAACACTTTTTGATTGGTTGTACTTATACCACTATCAATTTTTGTCTTAATTTCATTTATATCTGTGTCTTGCCAAGATAAAACTACGATTTTACCATTTGATGTAAACTAAGAATAGGATCGGGACTAATACTGACCCTTGAGTTACCGCTGCGTTTATATTTAATTTATTTGAAATATAATATCTTAATAATTTTAAGATTTGGGACCGATTTATTTGAATATGTCTTGAACCAATTGAGTGAAGATCCAGTACAACAATATTTGTTTGATTTTTAGGATGTCATGATTTACACAGTAAAAAGCTTACGGAAAGTTGCAGAGCTATTTAAATTTGTTTATCGTTTAATTTTGAGTATATATCTTGGAGTAATGTAAAAATAGTATCTATAGTATATTTTGCTTTTGAAATTCAGATCGCTTATAATATTGGATTTTAGAAAGTCTCTTAATCTTATTTGAACCATTTCTTCCATTATTTCTGCTATAACAGTAATTAAACTTATGGGTCTATAATTTTCTGGTAAATTACTTGGAGCTCTTTTATAAATAGGAATAACTATTGATGTTGTTAAAAATCCTGAGTAAACACCTGTGTTGAGAGAAATATTTATAGGTTTTGTGAGCGTATCAAAGATTTGCTGAAACATTTAAAGGTGCCTGCTGATTTTTTATATTTGATAGATCTTAATACTAATTGCAGTTCATTTGATATTTATATTATATATATATATATATATATATATATATTTATATCATTCATACATAACCAACCCAGCTCACTAATATAACATGAAATATGATCGTACTTCTTTAAACTAAATCTACAACTGTTTTGCAGTTTCTGCATCCTGTTCGTAGAGGCAGCATTGAGGCACGAGTACACACAACTACACGGCAGTAAGAGAATATAGGAAAGATTAGCGTCTCACAAAGTTTTTTCTTAGTTTTAAAGTTGAATAAATTTTTATTACAATAAAGGCATTATACCCTTTTTTCTAAATATTAGCAACACGCAGTAGACAAATATCAACCAATTGTAGCGAACTGGCCATCTGAAGAATTAGGCAAAATGCTCGGTATTAGTCCCCAATACATTATTTATTTACCTTTCGCTATTGAAAGCTTGTTTAATGCAGTAAATTGTAATTACCTCAAGCACAATGTGCCGACAACAATACGAAAAAATAAGCAGCATTATGGTTGCTATAGTTAATAAATACAAAATGTCAATGAATATTTCATATAATTTCATTCTATGCACAACAATGCAAATTTTAAATGCAAAAAAGAATTATATCACATTTCAAGATATAATTGAAATTGCTAAATTCACGATTTTTTGTATATATAACTTTCACGCTGAATTATGGCATCCTCTTTCCCATCACTCATGAAAAGGGAGATTACCTTTGCCTTATGCTGCCACAATACAAAAATACAAACTATGCAATAAATGTCCAATCTGTTGACCATCTACGCCCAACAGTAACTTGATAAATATAACAACTGTGGGTTATCTCACTTAATTTTATAAGCATCCTCTGCGGCTCCAGGAGGTACCTAATTTGACCGGGTATCGAAAACTTGAGCGTATTATCACAAACAAAATTTCGGATGTCTTTCATTATTGTTGGTTAATAATTCACACATCTAAGATATATGTTTTCAAAAATGATCTGCCATGATCCGACAGTCTTTCTGAAATTTTATCAAACAATATAAAAAAATATAAACAATCATACGTATTCTGCTGGTTTCCTGTTTGCAAGCTTATATTGACTATGACCAGCGAAAAACTGTTTGATCGCAATAAAAGTACACATGAAAAAGCATTTATTTCTCCAAATTTAAACAAAAATAATAGAAAAAAAGGAGCTTTGTGGATTCGAAGCTCCGTCCTGCGGTTCTGCAATCGTGACTCCCTCCCATTACACTATGACATCCCTTGCTTTACTGGATCTTTATTCTATACGTACTATACCTGACACCGACAAATGTCAAGCGAACGTTGGAGACATATTAAATCTGTTATAAACAATTAGAATACTTTTGAAAACCATATAAGATACAATGCTGAAACTTTAAATAATGTATTAGGGACTAATAACGAGCATTTTGCCTAATTTTTCAGAGGGTCAGTTAAAATTGGTTGATATTTGTATACTGTGTTCGTTTTCTCGACTTCATTTTCCAACATTTCGAACTTGCGAGATTTCGAAAACAGACGTATTCTACATTAACACTTTTAGAAAAAAGGTCTAGAGAATTATATTTCTTCGTAAAGAAACTGGATTACATGATCTACTTATTTGTCAAAGTCATGCAGTCATCGATAATGCAGCCATTTAGCACATGATACATATTAACTAGTCTAAGACAATTTGAAACATAATTATTGTGTCTTCAGTTTGCGTGCTAACTTAATATACAGTTCCGCGCATTTCAGTATGAAATAGTTTTATTTAAAACTCTCTAAATATGTATACACAAGAGTATGAAGAAATCTTGGAGACACATTTTTTTCCTTGCAGTAAAACGTGATAGACACATCTGCTTTATTTTAAAATGTGTACAACAACGTATGTTATTAAACACATTTTAAAATTTACAAATACGAAAACTGAATTTGTTTAGAGGAAAAAAACGTAACCCTTCGTTTTTCGCATACAAATAACAATTATATTTCGGAATGGTTTGTGATTCATTTCGGCACGGTAAACTCGTGTATTTTGCGATGAAATGCCTTTTGAACGAATCCCTCAATAAAACCAGACTTCAAAATTATTTTGCAAATCAGGGGTATTTTCGTCTAAAATGATTACTATATCTGGTTTTTTTCACAGGGAGTAAAATTCCACTACGTAGAATCTGGCCAGAAGGACCAACCGTTGATCCTGCTCTTGCACGGTTTTCCTGACTGTTGGCTCAGCTGGCGCCACCAAATCCCAGTCTTATCCCAACACTTCCGTGTGGTGGCCTTGGATCTTAAGGGCTTTGGCGACTCGGACAAGCCAATATGGAGGAGTAGCTACAAAATCGAGGTTATATTGCAGGAGCTACAGCAGCTTATCTGTGCTTTGGGTGTGACGAAGTGTACGGTTATTGGGCATGATCTTGGAGCTCTTATTGGATGGTAGGTGAAGCTATTTCCCCATATTTTACGTAAAACGGATAACAACCCGCGATGCGAAAACACCTGTCAATCATATCTTTAAAACTGGGATCGTAACGATTTTGATGGAATTTTTACATAGGGTTAGTACTAGTAAAGTAGTAAATAAACTTTAGTGGAAAATTTATGAAGTTAATTATTACTTAATATCACTAGTGATACTTAGAACTTTGCGAGTTTTAACTGTTACATAAGATCATTCCAACGCGCGAGAAGATTGACCCAGTCTACTCGTCTCCACCTTTAATAATTTTCCACAAGTTCCTCGGGTATTGTAGTGGGGATAATTTTAGAATAAAAAATAAGAAAAGCTCCTGATATTTTTTAGGACATTTTTTTGTCGATATTTGGCAGAATAGGAAGGAATAGATATAAGTGGTTTACTGTAACTATCTAAAACTGCAATGACTCATACGCGTGATCAGACCCTGACCGGCTGTCGAGAGGCGTCAGACTAGAACAGGGTGGCATTTTATACTCTGAGTGTTCGATTTATACATTCTAAATAATACACATTTTATTCGGGTGACAGTATGTCCCACAATCATCTTGACAAACTTTGAGATATTAGAATACAATTATGTTAATAAACAAAAATTGGGAAAATATGAGCATACCGTTTTGATTCATTTCATTATTACAATTTTCATTTTTATATTATGCTCCCAAGATCTCATTCGTTTGTTATAATAATCTTGAGTAAGACGGTAAATGAACTTTTGGAGTTGTTTTGAGGAGAAAGCTTCCATATAGCGATCTGCTCGAATAAATAAAATATTAAAAAATCGTGATCATGCTACTTTAACAAAATATGGGTCTTCAAAAGAACTTAAAAATTCGCGGAAGCATTTAGCGATCTCTTATAAACAAGCCACAGTAACGTTTTTCATGAGAAAATGGTCATTTTCAATCGTCCTCTGGTTGCCTTAATGGATTTTTGCCTGTTTCGGAACGGATTTGCATTTTTTTCCTTCAAGTAAGTTTGTCCGATCGCTATGAGACGAAATTCTTGAAAATTCGCCAAGTTATACTTATTATCCTGTTTGCCTGTAACATTATTGACTATCATGCGGGCGAAGCTATTCTGCTAAGTAAGAAGTTTGTATTTTCGGGAAATATCTCATTTGCATTAATATTTTATATGTTACAACTTTTTGCAATTCAATTTTGTGGCCTTAAAAATCACAACGTATTGTTTTTCCATTGATGAGTTCGTCTACTTGTAATAAAACATTAAAATCAGTCAAAATCAACAAACATGCTAAGAGTAAGGAACGCGCATGAATTAAGCTGAAAGGAAGAATGAAAACTGATTCCGCTCCTGAGATAAGATGACGCCTCAACGCTTCCACGCTACAAGGCCCAATACATTGGCGTAGACTATTAGTTGGAACTTATTTCATTGAGATATTGTTTGTTGTTAGAAGAATTGTTATTTGCTTATTTCTGTTGTTATTGTTCGGGTTATACTTATACAGGGTGTTTCACAACTTATCCGACAAATTTTAACCACTGTTACGAAAGGAGTTGATTTTTGAAAAAAAATGTAATAAAAGTCCTACAGAAATTAAGTTATATACCTGAGTTTAAATAATAAATTGAAAAATAAATATCTGTATTTTGCGTTCATCGTCGTGATATTAGAACACGCATTAATAATTTATTGTAGCAAATGTTGTACCAAACACTTGATGAAAACAAAATAGCAGAAAGTTTTTGTTTTTTCATACTGATAAGAACGTATAAATAAGGTTTAACTGTATCGTGGGTGATCTGAATGAAGAACGGTCGATGTTTGTAAAGTTAAATAAGAAAGTATTTTGCAAGTTCATGTTTTTAGTTATTTATTAATAAAAATGACACATGTGTACACTAATGAGGAGTTAGTTGTCATTGTTTTAGCGTACGGAGAAGCAGGGCGAAATTCGCGAGCGGTTTCTAGATTGTATGCACACCGATTTCCGAATAGGCACATACCACATCACGAAACATTTAGTTCAATTGTGCTAGTGGAGATTTGCGCCCCAGACGTGGATGGATGGGGGTCTATTTCGCCCACAACGCGTTTTAAATGCCGAAGACGAACTTTTGGATATTGTGGAAAAAATCCGGGAATAAGAACAAGGCAGTTAGCCCAACAGGTACAAGAAGTCTCACATGGGTGGCGTATATTTCATGACGACCAACTGTACCCTTATCACGTCCAGAGAGTCCAGGCGTTGCTACCTGTAGACTATCCCCTAAGACTAAGATTTTGTGAGTGGTTGTTGCAAGAAAATGCTCGAAATGCCTGTTTTGCAGCTGATATTTTGGCCACCGATGAAGCTACTTTTAATCGTAACGGGATAACCAATCTTCATGATACGAGTACACACGTTTGGTCATTTGAGAATCCTCACGCAGTGGTCCAGACACACTTCCAACATCGTTTTTCTTTAAACGTGTGGGCAGGTATTGTGCCATTGGCGGTCCGAGCACCGATGTGGTTTCTGCACGATGGGGCAACTCCGCATTTTCGTTTACAAGTTCGTGATTTTACAAATCTGGTATACCAGATACGCTGGACCGGAGGTATACAGAACTCCAGTTCAGAATATTGAAGAATTGTGTGATCGAATCACAGTGGTTGCCGATAATTTGAGCCTTCAGGCACAGCAGGAAGGAGGTGTATTTGAATTAGTGCGCCGAAATTGGATTCGACGCGCCCGAGGTTGCATTGAAGACAATGGAAACAATTTTGAACAGCTTTTATAAGTAAGTGAACTGTTAAACCGTATTATTTGATTATCTCGATTTCTGTAGAACTGTGGTTGAAATTTGTCGGATAAGTTGTGAAACACTATGTATTTCCTTAATCATGGAAGGTGAGACTGGGAGTGGAAGTACTGGAATCCAGGAAACAAGTAGAAAGCTTCGTAAGGCACTGAAGAAGGACGCGAAAGAAATCATACTCAACGTGTTCAATTATTTGAACAAGACTATGTCGCAGGGAGATGCACTTACGCGTTGCGAAAGCATGACAGGAGTCCCAGAGTGGACTGTTTGCAGGGTAGTGCATGAACAGAAGAAAACTGGAGCAACTGCTGATCCAAAGTTCCATTTGGAGGGACGAAAGGTCATTAAACTAAATGGCGGTAGTAAGGAAAACTCTGTACGAACTTAATTTTCATTACTAAACGTGTAATCGGAAGTCAGGATTGATAGAGAAACCTAAAATAGTCGCGTGGCGTCGAAAATACGCATTCGTATTAAATGGCTATGATGGGAAGCATAATAAGCAAAGGGGGATAATTCTAAATCCAAAATGGCAGCTGCCGCTGAATGGCAATTTATAATTTCCATGGTCACCGCTATGATATGAGTATGAAATGCAACGGCAATAAGCAAATAACGTCATTCTTAATTCCATATATAGTGATCGCCAAAAAATATCGGTTTATCGTTAAGCATTTGATTTATATTTATCGAAATTTTATGATACAAACGGAGTAAGAAGTTTTATGGAGTATTGTTAATAAAATATATGAAAATTGTATAGAAATTATCAATCTAGTTATTTGACATCATAAATACTAAAAAGTAAAAAGTAAATAAAACAAAAAATATATTTTTAAGAACATGTTTTTGTTTAGCTGCTGCGAAAATGAACGAAAAATTTCAAAATAATTCATTCGATTGGGAATATTCATCCGATAGTGAAGTTCCTTTATCTCAAGTTTTCAAATAAAAGTTTGTTATGTGTTGACGGTAGGGTGGAGAAGGGTGCAACTCACTTTTATGTAGAAACTTGAGATGAAGGAGTCTTATTATCGTTTAACCGTTTCCCATCGGAGACACATATTTTTAAATTAGTTCATTGTAGTAACAGCTGCATGAAGGCTCGTTCTTATTATTTTTTTTTTATTTCACTTTTTGATATCAGTGAAAGTCGTTCCGTTATTAAGAAGGCGCTATTCTAGATTTATTGCATATATGTTAGTTTGAGGTGTAGAGCTTTACATTAACAACAACTCAACAAACCTAATCAAGTTTTGCTTTGAAATTTGCGGATTTGAACGAACGCGTGGGAAGTATAGCCAATCTACTTGACGCCATTTTTGTATTTGTACTTTAAAAAAGGCCTCATAGGTGGCCGAGATGTTAGTAACCAGTCATCCATTAATTGTTATTTCATTTGTTGGCCAGCGAATTATCTACACTTTCCTCTCGGACTGTCCTTTTCTATCGTTGAGAATTTCAGAGTGTACGAGACCTTAGAATACCTCGGAATAGTAATGTCATGGTTAAGAATAAACAACTTTCACTAGAAGAAATATGAGTCGGTTTTTGATACTTGTAAAAAAATGTAATGATTTATTACAGGTTTTTGGTACACCAGTGTCCAGGCTTGGTGACAAAGTTCTTCCCAATATCTTGTCCCCATCCTAACGCTTACTGGCAGAATCTTACTACTACTCCAAACTACCAGTGGCTAAACTTCGCACAACTTCCATACTTACCCGAAGTGGATGCTCTTAAAGAAGACGTCAACATCATAGACCAATATCACAAACATCTAGCACCCAAGGACACCTATTTGGAGGCATATAAATACAGGTGACTTGTCATTTTGAATGAATTTTCATTCAGTCTCAGTGAATGAGGACAGGAAATTTAGGCTTTTATGTGTCCAGTTTTTTATGTATGTGATTTTCTCGAGTGCAATTTAAATATCAGAATATCATGCTACTCCTGATGTTACCCCAAAATACCTAGACACATACTATTTATATATTATGGAAAATTTGATAACAATTCGTAAGAATACCAATTTTCAGAAAATAAACACCACCAGCCTTGTTTTGTTCGTTCTTGCACGTACAATGGGAATATTTACTGGAATCACCTTTAACTATTTACAAACATTATTACGCCTTATGTTTCTCCATTGGTATTCCTCAATATTCAATTCAAAGCGTCTTTTTTTTATTAGATTCTAACAAAATAGCGAAGGTAACAAAAACGTCTGATGAGCCGGCAACACCGCAATCTAGGTGACAAGAATAACATGGTCAGCTGCTTCCAAGACTTATGTCTAGCCTGGGGTATCTACGCAGCTATTTCGAACGTCAAGGTGTCAATTTTCATTTGAGAGATAAGATTATATTTAGTCATGAAGTTCATAGCAGGAACATAAGAGACCGTACAATAATCAGAACACCGCCTCACTCTATGACACTTTTCAAGCGTTGTTTTTCTTATAATGCTGCCATATTTTACAATGCTTTACCAGATAAATACAAGGAAATATCTTCTGCCAAAACAAATAAAACAATTTGTATTTACCCTTACCTGATATTGGTCCAGTATCTTTTCTTATATATATATATATTTATATGTATCTAAATATTATGTGTGTATGGATGTATAGGTGTATATGTATGTCTGTATATGTATGTGTGTATATGTATGTATGTATATATGTGTGTGTATATATGTATATGTGTGTATGTATATTTATATTTGGCATGCATGCACATACTGTATATAGTTGTGGTGTATTTTACTTTATAGTATAGTTTATTTATAACAAATTATTTTTTTTGATGACATATCTTAGGCAACGCACATTACATCGTGCTCTAAATGTACTGACAAAGATAGTTCACTACCGGTCAAAAGTTTTGGGACAGCAGATTGTTTGAGGGAAATCAAATCAAATCAATCAATAAAGTGTGTTTAATCAAAAAATAAGAAAGGAACTATTTTCCACTGAAACTCAGTTAGTCGGTAACTTATATTTCTATCAAAATTTACTTTAAATTCATGATTCATCGAAATGTCCACCACGAGCCCGAATAACTGCAATGCTCAGAGTCGTTGTCTTCCTGAAATTCGAAATTGTTCCCAACAATCGTTTGTCCTGAGAGAACAGCGTGGTTTTAGAATATTTCCAAATTCTGCTCTTTTCGCATTATACCCTCAATACGAACCAAATTTCCTGTTCGATTCCCAGCAAAACAGCCCCAAACCATTGCACTCCCACCTCCATGTTTAACAGTGAGCTGCAAAGATTGTGGAGCCATGCGTTTATGGGGTTGGCGGCGTACAAACTGTCGTCGTCGAGATCATTTCGAATTTAGATTCCAATCGTCAGTGGTCCAATGCTTGTGTTTTCGAGTCCATGCTAACCAATTGAGTTTATGTATAGGTCGCAGCAATGGTTTGCACGCTGCTACACATCCTCTAAGGTTTGCGCTTTGTAAGCGGCGTTTTATCGTGGACACGGACACAGGGTTTTCCCTCGTTCTGTTCAAGATGTGTGTGAGTTCAGGCGAAGTTAAATGTCTATTTCGCTTATTTGTTATTACTATAAACCTATCCTCAGGAACAGTTGTAACTCTGCGTCTTCCAGAGCGTGGACGATCTACGACACTGCCTGTTTCTCTCTTTTTCTTCAAAATTTGAGTGTTCTGTCCTAAATGCAGCTTTTCAGCAATCGCTCGAATTGGCAATCCCTCATCACGTAAGGTACATACTGCACCCCGTTTTTCAAGAGAAACTTTACCCGTCTTTACCATTTTCCATTATTTTGAAAAAATCTGACCCTAGCACATCGACTAGTAGCTTATATTAAACTTCGTACAATTTTTACTTTGTTTCATTGATACCCAGAATGTTCATATATCACATTACGCCGAACATAATACATAGTAGAAAAAAAAGTAAGCAGCGGAATGACTGCAGTGAACTAATCAAAATATGGGCGTCTCTAAAGATGTTTACTTCTATTCCCTTTTGAGTGGTGTTTCACTGATTTTTATACATCTTTAGCTTGAGTAGTCGTATTATAGATGGTAAAATCAAACAATGTCATATAAGCCTTATTTATTTTAAGTTCTCTTAGAAAAAGTTACTGTCCCCATTTGAGTGATAGTGTAAGTGTAAGAGTAGCCTAGGCTAAACTTCGCTATCTTTGTCCCTCACATGTATAACAAATAAAGGCTTTATTATTATTATTATTATTATTGGCATTGTTTAAGTGTTGTGCAAGGATTTCGGGAAAAATTTCGCTACGGATACGGATAGTCTTGTAGAGCCTAGTAGAGTATAATTCAACAGTCTTGCGTGACCATGTTTCCTTCCTCGGGCCAATAATGTAATAACTTTTTTGCGTTTCATAAATATTCCTATCTGTAGCATATCTTCTCACCCGTTACTCGTAATATACTTCACCAACCAGGGACTTTCTTTTCATACCTCTCTCATTTTTTAAATTCAGCAAATTTGCATAATATGTAATTTCCAGAGTGAATAAGAATAAGTGGAGGCGCAACTCATTTCCAACTTTGAATAGATCTCAAGTCAGTGTATTTAAGACAAGAAACTAATGAAATTATCATAACACAGATTATTGGCACATACGAGGGTGGTCCCAGAAGTACCCGACCTGACCTAGAGATGGCGATAGTTGTTTGAAAAATATCATTGTATTAGAAAGTATGCAACCTATAAAGCATATGTGTCAAGTTTGAAGACGCCACGTTGTTTAGTATTTGTTTGGCAGCCATCAATACTGAACGTTTTCAGTGAATTTGTGAAAATTGAGAAAATTGGTCATCGATATGTGGTACAATACTTTTATTTCAAAGGCCTCAGCTCAACCAATATAAAAGCTGAACTGGATGAGTGTGCTCCTTCGTTTACAACAGTAAAATATTGGGTAACACAGTTTAAACGAGGTCATATGAGCTGCCAAGACGAGCATCGCAGTGGTCGACCAAATGAGGTGGCGACTCCAGAAATGGTGAAGAAAATTCACAAAGCGGTACTGAATGATCGCCGACTGAAAGTGCGCGAGCTAGCAGACATAGTAGGCATTTCAAAAAGTGCGGTTCATCGCATATTATCTGAAAATTTGCACATGAGAGATCTGTGTGCAAGATGGGTGCCGTGATTGCTTACAATCGAGCAAAAACAGTGTCGTGGAGATGTTTCAATTGAGTGTTTATCGAAGTTTCACAGCAACAAACCAGAATTTTTTCGTCGTGTCATAACCGTGGATGAAACATGGGTCCATCACTTCACATCCGAGACAAAAGAACAATCAAAGCAATGGACTCAAAAGGTACAACCGGCTCCAAAGAAGCCGAAGACCGTTTCATCTGCAGGCAAGGTTATGGCATGGTTTTTTGCGAAGCTCATGGGATAATTTTCATTGACTCTCTTGAAAAAGGTAAAACTATCAACGGCGAGTATTATGCGAACTTATTGCAACGTTTGAGCGATGAAATCAAGCAAAAACGGCCACATTTGGTTAAGAAGAAAGTGCTGTTTCATCAAGACAATGCACCAGCTCACAAATCCGTTATTGCAATGACCAAAATTAACGAATTAAAGTTTGAATTGCTACCTCATGTACCCTATTCACCAGATTTACCCCCATCGGATTATTTTCTGTTTCAAATTTGAAAAAATGGCTCAGTGGTCAAAGATTTTCCAACGATGAAGAAGTGATGTCGGTAGTTCATATCTATTTTGAGGAGCAAGACAGTTCTTATTATAAAAAGGGTATCGAACTTATTGAACATTACTGTGCAAAGTGTATAGAGCTCAAAGGAAATTATGTTGAAAAATAAATACATTTTTTTACAAAATCTTTGTGTTTTCTTCCTTGGGTCGGGTTCTTCTGGGACCACCCTCGTAAATCCTCACTATACACCTATGCGCTACCGTTTCCTTCCAGCCATAGTATACAACTTGCAGCTTAGACCTCCAAGGGGGTTTTTCTACAAGACGTTAACTTAGCACTAGCTGATGGACACTTGTTGTGAACTGGTTTTCTAGTTGTACGTGTTGCCTAAACGTCAGGATGCTCCAGCTATCGATGTTTGGCTCTGATGCGATGCAACATCTGCTTCAGAGATGGCATGACTGGAGATCTAAGCTGTAAGTTGAATACTATAGATGGAAGGAAACGGCAGTACATAGGTGCATAGTGAATATTTGTGTGCTAATAATGTGTTGATGAAAATTCCATTGGTTTCTTGTCTTGAGGTTCAAGGATAGAAATTAGTTGCGCATCCACTTTTTCGTATTCATTCTGGAAATTATGTATGCAATTTTGCTGAATTTCAAGAATGAGAGAGATAAGAAAATATCTCTGGTTGGTGAATAACAGGTAAGAAAATACGCTACAGGCAGGAATATCTATTTATGAAAGTGAAAAGGTTATTACATTATTTTTTATTTCCAGTCATTTAAACTTCATATAAATTTATTTTGCGACGTCAATAGAAAACATAAATCAGCGGCTAGATGTGAGGCGCTGCGAAAATGTTTAAAGTGTGATGCGCCATTCCTAATTTTTCTGTAATGTGGCTTGATTATATACAACGCGGGCGCGGTGCCGATTTCCCGTAATGCTTCTCAAAGTTTTTGAAAACACACAAACGGGAAAAATCGTAATTTATAACTTTGAACATAACTTGCCCTTCAGAAAGGACAACATATAAATAACCCGTTGGACACAGCTAATAGATATACTTCATTGGCAGCATATTCAGTACCTAATAATTTTCTCACATAGCAACTATCAATGATTTTTTACACACGTAGACCAAAACACATAATCATCACTACTCGGTCGCGCAAAACATATACTTGATGTCCGCAATCAACAATGCGTGTAGTTGTTATTCCTCCATAGATGGACGCTCACAGCGATCATAGCGAGCAAACGTGGAATGAACTATTTGCACCCTAAAAACTAGTCTGCAAGATGATATTTCGTTGTTTTTTACGTTTTATAGGTTTTTTACATAAAAGCTGTGCCGCATAAAATACGTCTGACCCACCTTTTTCTTTATTTCGTGCGGCATAGAAATTACGTATCATGAAAAGTGACATTTTGTCAGATTTTTTTACATTTCTTAGGTTTTTTACATAATATTCCTGCCAGTTTTAAACGTTGGGTTATCGAGCTTGCTTTGAAGAATTAGAATCGAAATCATCGAAATCGTAAGCATTGGACTCAATTCCTTCATGATGATTGGAATCACTTCCTTTGCAACGAGCTAGCTGTATCCTTAAATAATACAAAGTAGATTTTGATGGTCGCCCCATAAATTCGTAATTCAGATCACAACGTACATTTTTGTGGCATTCTGTATCTTGATTTACGTAAAATCTGTTACCAAAATACGCCTGACCCACCTTTTTGCTTTATTCGTGGTATCCGTGCAGATACGATCACACACATGCTTGTCTTTATGGCTCCCCCATGGCCTATATTTCTTTAACCTGTACACATACATTTGAATATGCAATTGGTATTATGATTTCAGTTTTTCAAGACAAGAAGACTGGACTGGTCCCATCAATTACTATAGACATCTCCCTTTCGTCAAAATCAACGAAGAATGCGACAAGATCGAGTCAAAAGTGGTACTCATCACCGGTAACAAAGACAAGCTAGTAAAACTAGAAGGCGTGGTCAAATCGACAGAATACTGTGAGCGATTCTACATGAAGATAATAGAAGGTTGTGAACACTTTCCACACCAAGAAAACCCAGATGCCTTCAATAAAGTGTTACTTAAGTATTTACTTGACAGAAGTTCGAAGTCGGAAAACATAGAGAAGTCACCTTCGAAGAGGCTGATGCAGGGACTTTTAGGAGCTGTTAGCAGTACTGTGAAGTACGGAAACTCTGTGATAGACAATGTTCAAAAGAAGACCAATGGGATGGTCGGAAGTATACCTACGATGGGGTTATCCCTGAACTATACGCAGAATACGTAACGTTTTCCTAAGTAAATGTCTTGTGAATACTCGTTCCTAATAGTAATCTAGGTAAATGTTGATGCTAAACATGTACTATGACGAAATATCAACAAAAATCGTACATGCCAAGTACTATGGTACAAAACAACAGATCTGAATAATCAAGCATTAGCGGGAATAAAATACAACTGCCAAAATGACTGGTCTATTTGAAGAAAGTTTCCTTTATAGATGCTACAATGTCATTATATAGGTCTAATTAGGTTCTACAGTGCTATAATTTTAGTATAAGGGATGTTATTTATTCTTTTGCATTGTGGTTCATTTCTGTACAGGTATCATAAAAATTAAAGCTTGGTCAATTTATACCCGCTAAACCCTAATATTACGAGAAAGATGATTCTTATTTAAACTGCTAAAAACTAACCTGTATTTTAGGTAAGGAACATTGAATACCCTAAAAGCGAGACATTCAGTAATCATTATACTATCCAATTTGTATATTATTATCTTATTTTATTTATTCGAATTTTATTAAACTTTTAATATGATTATGATATTCATAGGACTCGTAACACTAACATAAATATTTATTATGATAGAATGAGAAGAATCTGGGAGATAAACGTTTGTGCATTCTTTTTGGAAACATGCTTATCATGTAGTGTATGTACACAGCTTTTTTCGTACGAATATAGTCTGATTTCCCTTGAAGATATTATAGTTACTGAACAACACCGTGATTAAAGCAACATGACATAATCAATAAGAAATAAAAACAATGGTACAAATAAATACTGACCTTCGAATAATTTTTCTGGATGAAGTATAATTTCCGTAACTCGCTTGACTTCCATTACATTTTTCCAAATTTGTGATAAATTAGTGTTTAGTGGTGACAACCAACCAAGGTATTCAAAACTAAATTAGTATGTTGCTGAAAATATATGAAATTGGCGACTCTAGTTCTTTCATATGCGAATGTAGTAGAACATTATAACCTCAGTATTGAAATACCATCCCATGATTTATATAGAGGGCTCCTGAATCTGTCAATTTTATACATCTTCAGTAACATACTAATTTGGTTTTAAATCCTCTTAATTGATGCTCGCCGTCTTTAATGTATACATACTAATTTCACAGCTTATAGTCCACGTAATATATGTTTTAATTTTTTAATACTTATGTCACAAACATCGATGTATGTTGTGATATTATGCGCGTCATTGTTTTTCAAATCTTCGAAATAAATTGTTTGATAATTTTAAATATTGTTTGTTTTATTTTAGGTGATTTGTTGAATATTTCACTTTTTCATAAAAAGCTGGTTCTAAAAACATACACATCCCGCATTCAACGTTGGATAACAAAAAGAACAAGATATCGTTCGCCACTGTTAACGTGGCATTGCGCGGATGAGGAAAACTCCTCCTTTATAGCGACGGTACCTAGTCCAGTGGCGAACGATGAGTTATGCTATTTTGGTGCTTGATTATAGTGAGATGCTTTGGACCTGCATTCGAATCGGGGGTTGTTAATTAATGTATGTACGTGTTTGTTATGACGTTTCCGGACGGACAATACTATTCTCGCCCAGCTTTACTTTTTGACATCTCCGACACATTTTCCTGATCCTGATTAATGTTATTTACGGTTTGTTGGGACAGTGGCCGGTGACTTGTCAGTTCCTGTGTCTGGGATCGGGCCGTTTGATCAGTCTATATAGCGTAGCTGAGTGAACAGGACTGTAATATAAGTAACATAATCTGCCGCGTTGCGTACACTGAGGAAACGTGATCAATTAAATAGTTCTGTAAAATTTTCATTATCCGTAATACCTTTTTTAATTATTCTAAGTAACTAAATTGTTCGATTTAATTAAATTGAATCATCTGGATCTAAGTTAATTGAAAATAATATACTATCAGACTAATTTACTCGAAATTAGCAAATCATTTCTATTGAATAATGTATATAGAGGGTGTAAAGTTAGTAGTGAATCAACAGAACTCAGGTGATAGAGGGCCTCAAAATCTATCGAATGAACCCCTATATGTGTGGTCCTAAATTTCATAGTTCAGGAGATATTTGCAATTTTGTAAAATTTCGAAAGAAACAGGATAATGAACTTTGAATGGCAATTACACCTAAACCATTAGGTTTAGCGCTGTGATTCTTTTTCTGAGATGAGCTAAATGGTTAGTTTTAGCAATGGCTATGTCACTTTTTAACAGAGCTTATTAGAAATCAACGCAAAAAATCTGAAATTCATTTTTTCCCTCAACTTTGGAGGGCGGTAAAAACATTGAGGTTCTATTTCATTATTCATTTTATTGTAAAAACTATTTCAATCTATGTAGAATAAACCCTGAAAATTTCAGCTTGCTACGATGAGTGTATCATGTCACATTCGTTGTTGTGAAGAGATAAACATAAGAAACGCAATATAATCCTTACCACCTACAAGTACAGAACACATTGTGCTTGGTCGCTCTTTATGGCGATTTACCGACAAATGTGAAAGATAATTTAATTTAACTAACTTTTAAAGAACATATTCGAGATGGCCTCCATTATTTTCTATACACAAGCGACACCTTTTAATAAAATTCTCCATTAGTCTATGAAATGAATTTCCGGTTTCCATAACTTTAATTTTTGATTCATCAATTTTCTGGCGCAGTTGGTTGACATTTGTATATTAATATGTATAGATTATCTCCTTATAAAACCCCCTTATAAAAAATCTAAAGGATTTAAATCAGGTGACATTCAAGGCCATCGTTTTTGTCCTCTACCTATTCAAGGCCCAGGAACGGCACTGTCTAAGTAATGTCGGATGTCACCTGCAAAGTGACATGGGGCACCATCGCATTGAAAATACAAGCGGCTTCGAAGGTCTAAAGGTATATCCTCTAGTACATCATGCAAACTGCTTTGTAGAAAAGCAATATATGACTGACCATTCAACCTGGCGAGCAGTTTATATGGTCCAATTAGTTTTTTGTCGATTACTGCAGCCCATAAATTAACGCCAAACTGACGTTAAAAGCTGTGTCGGCGAACAGCGTGTGGATTTTCCACGCTCCATGAATGTTCCATTCTCACAAAATTTAACCCGTTGTGCATAGTCGCTTGGAAGCAATGCTTGTACTTTTTGTACATGGTAAGGAAGCATGCTTCCCGAGCGTAGTATTGTATGCATTGAAGTATGGGATATGTTTCTCACCTGTTCTAACCACATACTCCCGATACATGCGAGCAGCTGCTCGAGCATTTCCTAGGGCAGCACCATAATAGTAATGCATTTCTGCATAATCTCACGGATAATATGACATGATTCTACTCAGATGCCAAACAGATTTTTCAAGGTGAGGCACTTATCGTAGCAAGCTGAAATTTTTAGGGTTTATTCTACATGGATTAAAATAGTTTTTATGAATAATGAAATACAACCTCAGTTTATTTACCGCCCTCCAAAATTGAGGGATGGAAGAGATTTCTAATTAGCTCTGTTAAAAAGCGGCATAACCATTGCTAAAACTAACCGTTCATCTAAAAAAGAAATCCCAACCCCCAAACCTAATGGTTAAGTTGTAATTGCGATTGAAAGTTCATTATCCCGTTTTTTTTTCGAAATTCCACAAAATTGCAAATTTCGGACCACACATACAGGGGTCCATTCGATAGGTTTTGATGCCCTCTATCACCTGACTTCCGTTGATCCACTACTAACTTTACACCCTGTATAGGAAGCAGATATAGGAAGTTGAGCCTCATTTTCCCAAAAGAACAAATTGTATTCTTTTAAATTCCAAATTTTATCCAAATATGGTTTTAAATGTAAATAACATAATTCATTAAAACTTGGCAAATACTTTTACCTAAACAAATTAAATAAATATAATTAAATTGTCTTACTTGGAACAGGCGGACTCATTTTAATAGTTCATTTATTTTAAATTAAGAGGTGTATTCGATTTAAGTAAACGTATTATTGGATAGTTGATTAATCTCCTTAATTAGCCTAATTGAAATTTAAATTGTTTTATTTTAATTTTTTTCTCGGTGTACAATAACGTAATTTTTTTCCGATTTACTAGCCGCATTGATGAGAAATTCTGACCAGGTATGTCTACACATTGCAGATAATAGTGCCTAGATATTGTCGAGGTATAGCTGATGTATCCAAGATATAACACTGAAATTTATTTAGTTTTTCGGTCTTAATTTTCAATGTGTACGAGAGAGAAGCAGGCAATACCAATGCAATACGTATGCTAGAAAGAGTGCGCCTCATAAAATCGAAATCAGGAAGATCATAACGAATCAGCAAAACTAAAAGCTATACCTGGACCAATAGCATGAGCCTCAATAAATGCCTGAATGAGCTTACTTCACAACTTTATTTGCGTGCATGGTGAGCATGAAAGTACCAGGTTATTTCAATTTCAGGTGCACCTATCCCAGATTTTGAATCGCATTCATCGACAAGATGGCCGTGTCATTCGCGGCGTTCTTTTGTTATCCAGGGTATTACCGGGAGCCCGTCGACATCTCCCGCAGGCACCTCTCCTCTTCTCATCCCCTTTTGACACCCTGTCACGTTCCCAACAACGTAATCTGCCGCTATCACCGTCAATGGCCGCTTCAGCACACCCCCTGCATTTTAATAAGGGCATCCTCTTTTGTACTGATGCCGCCAAGCGGTGCCGTTTCGTCGCTTCTGGATCGATGGGATGCTGGGTATGCCATATAGGGTGTCTCATAAATATTTCCTAGTTCCATAGAGAGCCATTCTCCAGTTCAAAATGGCAAAATGTTCGGTAGTTTTTTTTTAATGTCAGGTATTCCAAAATTGCATAATTTTGCTGTTTGTAAAAGATATGTGTGATGTCAGCTGGGCTAACTTTATATACCAAAAGGAAGCAGACGTGACGGTCTTTCTTGCAAATAGCGACACTGTTCAAATTGACAGGTGCCTTCAGAAAAAGCAATTGAATCATAATGATATACTACATCAACTAATCACAAAGATCGACAAACATGTTGAACGATGTCTGTCCGCACTCTCTTTCAGTAGTGCTTTTTAATTCATCGATTATTGCCTTTGGCTTTTCCTTCGATTAACACATTCTACATGAAGATATTTAACCTTATACTGTTTTTCCGCGTCCAAAAATTATCCGGGATAAAATAAGATATCGTAGCATCGTCTATGTCGTCTATGAGAATTTATCTCAGCTACGTTTCTTTTCCCCGCAGTACAACTACTAGACTCATCAGGTTCAAAATAAACACAACAAGCAAAATTTTGGTCAAATTTGAAACTCGCTTTTACTGATGTTTTCGGCAGGCGGTAAGTACACTCATTCGCACGAATGAATGTCTAGATACGAGTTCTTGATGGTAGACACGGTAAATATATAGTAAATATTTTATACTGAGTGACAAAAAGAGGTATGTCAGGTTTTTCTGTTAAGTTTTTGGGATGGCTGCGTGTATTTTTTGGTGATAAAGAAGCATTCAGTTTTCGTACATTTGTCAGTTAAATATTAAATTTCGTGTAGCTTATTGAGAAGCCTTTTTATGATTGCTCAAAATGTCTAGAGTGCCTAGAATTCGCTGGGTGTCCCAGCTAAGTGACTTTGAGAGGGGTCGAATTGTAGGGTTGCGTAAAGCCGGTCTATCGATAAAAGAAATTTCTAGGAGGACCAACAGATCCTTACGCAGTCGCAGTGTGAACGAGCGTGGACTCAGCAAGGCCGAGAACAGTGAGCGAGGAGTTCTGGACCGCGGAGCGACTAGACCGTCCGTCGGCTGGCTCTGAGAGACAGATTCAGTAGTACTCGGTCCATCGCTAATCAATGATTTGAAGAGCATGAAATGATGGTTGGTATGCGTGTACGTTATATCGCTGAATACGACAGCTTGGCTCACATTGGGTGCTACTTTTAACAGCTGAACATCGGCGTAACCGTTTGCTTTGGAATAGAGAAAGAATTCTATGGGACTGGGAATGGAATCAGGTGGTTTTTAGTGATGAACCCCGCTTCTGTCTGGGGATGCACGATGGTCGGCCAACAGTGAGAAGGCGACGTGGTAGAAGACGTGACCCGCAATTTGATAGAGAGCGTCACGTTCACCACACCGTGGAAGGTATGGTATGGGGTGCTATTGCTTATGGTAGCAGGTAACCACTAATTTGCATCAGAGGAAATATGACAGGCTGACGCCATATTCAGGAA